TGATACGTCAACTTTTTAAACAATCACACCACTAAGAGCGAATCCAGGGCACAGAATTGAACTCAAAGAATTCGCCTTTACACCAACACCACAAAAATGGCGTAGAAAATTCACACTGACAGTTGCCAATTCGTGTCTTGGTTTCACTGTCAACGCCTAGTAGTTTGGATTCCGACTGCCCTCGTCGATCATTTCGGCATTCACTAAAGCTTTAACAATGGAAGGTCACAACGCATATTCCAAGATTTTTCCCCAACAGGAAGGCGATCATCGTCGAGAAGGACGGGCAAAGTACTGCTGGGTAATACGAAATAAAATAATAGACTTAAAATACGGATAGGAGAAAGGACTTATGCTTACAATGACGTCAAACTTCGCAAAGATGTCGAGCAGCCGGCGTGTGGAGACGGAGTCCACAACGGGCAGCGCAGAAACGCGCTCGCCTTCGAAGAAGGTCAAGGCTTTGACCAACTTTGTGGATGGGGTTACCAGGGCTAAATTCTCGTAAGTTCCGACACCGGCCGCCTTTATACCCATCTGCAAGAAGAAAAAAAGGGTTCATTAAGAAAAGTAGGCCGTCTTCTGGTCCTTTTGCTAGTCAGGAAGCAACGCTGTCTGTACCTCATTTAATCCAAAGACCCAGAACTCGACATCTTTATTGATGAAAAAACAAGAGATGCACCGATATTCCGCTTGAAGATAAGTCCGTCAATCTCAGTTAATGAGCTTTCAGGAGCAGCGGCTGTCTCGCTAGGGCAACGACAGAACGTGCGTTTAGTATGCTCCGAGCAGTCACGCCAGCATACCGGCCAGCCCTCACAAATGACATTAGTTGCTCATAGATGAGTCGCCACGAGGATGGTGCGCGGAAGAAGGCTAACACTAATAAACTGTTGGGTCCAAGTGCAGGACTGGACAGAAAGTTAATGCACGTGGCGCCTGATTAAGGTGCGAGTACCTCAGCCGACTAGAATACTTTTCAAGACAATTCGGGCGCAATGACTACTTTTGTCGATCCTCATTTTCGTACTCATTCTGGCTGTGCATGATATTGCGCACAGCGAAAGCCAATCAGTGTACACCACTTCCCTGATTGACTGCAGGCGACAGAAGTCATGCTCCGGAGTCCTATAATGCCGCGCACGCGCAGACACAACAACTGGCTTGAGAACACTGCGAGAAAAACCCTTCTGTAGAACCAATCAGAAGCTCTTTCTCGCACTGAACGCTGTCCAATCTTATCAGTCTCCCCTGATTTCTGATTTGGGTAACCTGTTTTCAACATCGCCACCATTTTCGGCAAGTCCATCAAGACCCAGAGAGGGTTCTTGAACTTCCAACGGCTTGCTTCCGTCGCCGAAGCAGAGAATGAGTCGGGCTCCCTAGGTCCACTAACGAAGATCATCATACATAATCATGATTCCCAACGAATATGCTATCTATGAGCCTATTGCGATAAGGGAATAGGAACCCCGTGATAATCAAGGTGGCCTGCGCAAAGTAGCAGTCATCACGCATCCCTAACGGAAACATTAACCGAAATTAACCCCAATTTACACCCTGATAATAACTTTAATACCTCTTTAAATTAGCGTACGGTCCCCGAAAGGGGGTCCTAACCTTGTATCTTGGACAGTTCATTATATCTGTTAAGCATTTAGCATTACCACTCTCTTGCTATTTTCGCCGAGCTTGTTGCTACTGATTTTAATTGGGTAGTTCTGGATGCTGTACTAGAAATTTTATGTGGTTGCCATCAAAGATGCTTTTCTGTCAGAGTGGATTATCGCGAAATCTTGTCAAGCATGATTATGACTGCACTGCCTGGGACAGGTCAGGTGTTTGTTGCCCTGACCAAAATTCGGGCCTTGTAACGAATGACGGTGGTAGTTTGATGAGCTGACGATCGTGCCAAGTGTCCAGTCGCACAAAATAGCCATCTCACTCCAAAGTCGCCTGGCACTCAGCTCTTATCCGTAGCTTCAAGAGACTGATAGGTGGAGGGCAGTCGCTTTCAGGCAATCCATTTGAACAGCGGGAAAATCACAGGAGAACCGGAATTTTCGTCATCGAAAAGCTTGCTGCGTAATCCGGTCCATTCAGTAGGAATAAAACATCCGTCAGTTGGGAACGCATACAGGAACCCCTTAAGAATCTGCATAGCCTAGTTCCCCAGGATGGGCTAGTACGTTCAGGGTGCCGTTAGGTAAACGTTTAAGGTTATGCTGCAAATTGAGGGATATTGTAAAGGTTACCGACGTAAGGTTATGATGAGTAGAATTGGGTCTAGGAACAAACCTATCTCTGATCACTCAATATTGACTCTAAACTTAACGCTAACTCTGGATCCTTGCATTTACCCTAAAGCCAAGTTTAACTAAAATATTAGGTCACTAGGATATTCTGGATGAGAAAGGAAGGGGTGATGTCGGATTCATTAGTGAGTTCTCCCAATAATCTACATGAACGTACATATACTATTGACCCTCAGTCCCAGTTGGTGGTACAATGGAAAATACGCCAAGATTTCCTCTATGGTATAGCCAATACTGGACAGCATTACTGGTAGAAACAGACAGGCGAGTTCCAGGAAGCAGTTCAGAAGGATAAGATGCGATTGCTAGAACGAAAAAGTTTACTGGCCTGACGTTGTGGATTCTCACTCGAATCCACCAGCAGAGACGAAAAGGGTAGTAGAG